AGGTATGCTTTTCTCTCAGCCGAGCAGACTCATCGCAGAAGAACAATGCATGTTCAACTGTCTCCACTTTCCCACAACCAAACCGGCAGCGGCGCAAACCCCGAGGCACCACCTCCCTATGGTAGCGCTTCTTATATCGCAAACGTTCGACGGCCAAAGGATGCTGGCTTAGTAACAGCCTTGTCAGAGCCTTCCGGTGTGTTGAATTGACCACCAGAGCCAGGTAATGACGAAATACAGCCGTGATGGCTTTCGGTTCGTCGTCTTCAAGAGGCTCGCGCCGTTCATGAAGCAGATAGAGACGTGTGGACTGATTTATGTCGGTCTGTAGATCCCTCATTGCCGCCACATATACAGCCTTTCCAAGCGCGTCGGTGCACCGTAAACCTATCTGCTATCTCTCCATCAGCCAATTGACAATTTGATTGCAACTTGTTTGGCCTTGTGAGCTTGTCGCCAAGCCCACAAGGTCCAAGGGCGAAAAATTACCACTCCGAAAATGCAGAACAAGACGAGATATGGTCTCAAACATCTGGAGGATGCTTGGAGAATGCTCTGTGCAGATCTTCAGAACTGTGCTGTACCGAAACATCAAAATAAAATAAAATTTATGCCGCACAAAGGAGTCGAACCGTCGACCCAGAAAAAAAGATAGCCTTGTGACCTTGCCAACTTGCGACATTTTTGGCCCTTTTTTGGCCTTTTTTGACCTTGTACAAGCTCACAAGCTAATTGTCAAAAGTCTGATGTCGCGCCCTATCTGCTATCTCTCTTGCCAACTTCTTGTTACCTTTCTGAAGAGCTGAGTCGAGTCGGTGGAGGGGAGTTTGTATGAATGGCGCGGGTCATCGATATAGACCCCGTCGGGGTCGGGCGCTGGCAGGTAACGACCTCACGGAGGAGGTGAGGGATGCGGGGATACGCCGCAATCACTGTAACGTAAGCCAGGCGGGGATCAATTCAGATGCCGATCCGAACGTCGTGGCGGAATTGATGGCGGAGATTCCCGCCGCGGAATTCCCATTGCAAGGATTTCTGTCCAAGCAAATTTTCTGAAGAGAATTCCGTGGAAGGTTTTGGGCAATCGCAGTCCGGATGCTTTATTCCCATCCCGCAAACTTTTGACACCGCCCCGCAGACTTGCCTTTTTTGCCATCCCCGCGCGTGAATCTGACATTTTAATCTCGTCAAACATGCTTTGCGCCGACGGCATGTTTCTCCCCACGCGAATAATGAACCTATTTCCGAGGTAATCGGGTGAGAATTGAGCTTGTAGTGGCTGTTCTCGTGAAAACTTACCAAAAACAGAAAAAAAAAACAGCCCGTGCCCTAAGTTTTGCAAAGAGCTGTAATTGACCAAACAGCCAGAATGCTCCTTGAGCGCCTTGAATCCCTCCTTCCTCCCACCGCCAACCATGGACAACACCTCTCAGTTTGAGCCTGAATTCACCACAAAATCACGGCTTCAAGAGGATGGTTCCTCTTCTGTGCAGTGGGTGCTCCCAGCATCACTCACTGACGGCATCTGAGAGCACGCATTGCAGGTGTACCGGCACCTTTTTCCCCAATGCAAAGGACTTTGTCGTGGCAGGCGGCAGGTTCAAGAGTGTCACTCACATTCATCAAGCTGCTCCCACTGCTCCTGCTGGTGAGCTTGAACACATTCACTCCACAGACGTACATACTTACCCTCGTGTCAGACTTTCCGGTAATTCCCCTTGGACACATAAATCTGCTTCAGGAAATAGGACATCACCGTGGATCCAATGTGGTGCACCGCAAAAATAGAGGATGTTCTGTTCGAAGGATGTACACGGCTCGTGTTCACAGCTGCAAGTCAAACATGACAGTGGCATTGTACCAGGGAGACGGTGCCGAAGACGTGTGTTTTCTGTTTTCTCGAGCTAATAATGGCTTCATTGCCCTTCAGACATGGAAGAAGTACATCTCACGATACTCAGACCTTCGGTAAGAGGATTTGTACCACTATTCTGATGAAATGCGGATTGACTTCGTCGCAGACACGCATATCTTGCTCAACTTTATGGGATAGTGAATACAGCGAATCTACATGCTGCAGTTTTCCACGATGGTCGGAATTTTCTCTTGCTAAAGGGAAATACCCCTGACAACCTCCATAATTGAATAGATTTAATCCCATACATGGAAGTGCTCGAGAACCATCGCGACTCTCACTATACAACTGTGTTCTTGTGGAATTGCATGGTATGTACTGCATACCCCGTCCGACAACGGACAATGGAATTTAATTGTTTGCAGAATGGAGAATTCAGAGTAAAATCATTTATATTTATATGTGTCCGTGAACTCATTTTTCATAGGACGTCAACCAATATATATCGTCTCTTTCAGGAAGAAAGCTGGTAAATCAACACTCTCAGATGCCCTTCCATCTCATTCTTTGCCCAGAAATACACAGAGTACACAGTTTGGATACGTTCTTCAACCAATCGCCTCTGCATTGATCTTTCACCCCCTGAAACCAATGCCGTCGAGCTTGGCCATGTGGACAGTGGACCCCTGCCATCTGGAACCTCCCTCTTTACCCCAGCTTCTGAACCAGAAACGATCACATCAATATCGCTACGAGATTATCACAAAATTTGTGGGGGGCATTTGGCTCGCCCGCGCTACGATTTAGTTCCCCAAAATATCTCAGTGAAGATCGGGTCCATCCGTTATTCATCGGGGCCGGAATATGAAAACTCTTTGGAAGTTGCATCGGCTGATTGTAGCATAGCTGATTCTGGTTGGGCTACGATTGACCCGATTGTCGAGAATGGCTTGCATCCGTACGTTCCATCTCAATGTGTGTGTTCTAATAGTGATAAGAGTCACAAACGGCAGAATAAATTGTAACGAAGGCACCTCGATTATGGCGAATGGCTGGATCAGGTGCACTTCCTTTCCTTCTCCTCTCAGTGTGGTTGACAGCACACATGTCAGGATACGTTCTGCTGCTGTTGTGAATGAATATAGACGTCGAATACGCCACTACGAAACTTCAACCTGGCTTGCACAGGCCAATGATATTTTCAATAGTCTCGAAATAACCAGAGGCTTCGAGAATTTCGGTATATTTCCTGTTTCGCGCCGTAACAATTGTGGTGATGATTTTCACAGTATCAATATTTAGGATCGACTACTATCTCAAGCTTTCTGGACGGACAGATAAATTACCTTCTGGCTACCTCTTTTTGTGCCCCCGAGCCGAGCTCCAATCAGAGGACCCGACCAGCTTTCAATTTCCTGATTTCAGAGCATATTGGTCTCTCGACCCATCGGGAGTTCGTCGACTCACTGATGAAGTGGCAGAAGACTTGGGGTTTCCAGCCATCCAGTTGCAAATGGGGGTCGGCTCAAAATCATGGGACACTAGTGTTTACAACGGAATCCGCCATTTCCAAGAGGCGAAAGGTTTTGATCCTTATAGCCAAGAGGTCGCCCAAGAGCTGGGATGTCCGGTTCTTCAGGTGTCTTGTGATCAGGAGACTCTACTAGCATATCGTACGCATGTTGAACTTTTTATGTGCTGTTCCATCTGATCGTTTGACAGTTCAACAGAGTGACCACGATGATGACTACTCGGAGTTGGATGCAGGCTCCTACACAGAGGACGGTCCTGAATCTGGAGATGAGCAATATGGTGTGCCTTGGATTGTCAAGTTATCAATTCTATCGCTCATGACTTGCGGTGCAGATTCGGCCAGCTCCAAGCTCGGGGACGCTTTCCCAAACCAGGACGAGGATACTGATTCCGTATTCTGCGATGCACCGGAAGATCACCTTTCCGAGCATGATTTCATCCCCACAACTAATGGATGTCCTTCTCCAGTTCCCGAGCAATATCGTGCATATACTGCACAACGAGTCCATCCTTCGCATCTCCTTTTAACCAAATTCACAGTTCCGAGTGTTTATCAGTGCAGCCCTCTTGTGGAAGCAGAACTGCTCGCCCCATCCTGGCGTTTTAATATCATCATGGCTGTTCAGTTTGTTCTCATTCTCGCCGCCACCGCACTCTCGCTGTATCATTACATTTACCCGCGTAGTTGATCCGATCCCGATATATCCAATGTGGATGCATACATCATCTCAATTCAACCTGGTCTCCGTGGTACTTACAAACTCCAGACGATTATAGGTTGTCCACATGCAGAGGCAGCATTTCTGGTGAATGGGTCTACTTGATGTTGCCCAGTTTTATTTATTTATTTCAGAATAACTTGTTCTTGACCTCATGCACCTCATGCAATTCTGCGACGATAATAGCGTGAAGTCCCACATGGTGGCCTCAGCTCAGCATGTACTCCTAAATTCGGATCCCACGTTCAGATCGAGGTCTGAATTACTAGGGTACCACCTGTGATTGGGACCTAGTACTTGAAGTTTCTTACTCGCTTCCATATGCCACCGGGTCTGACTTGAGAGGTGAGCGGAGTAGACCTTCTTGATCGAGGAAAAAGTCTAAGACGAATGTTCCCCCAGGTGTTGAGGATACAGCATTACCTAAACCACGGACTCGATTTCAGGAGGAGAGATTCAGTCTCAGCCTCAGAGAAAGGTGTGAACACGAGCGGGGGATTAGTGGAATAATAACAATAACAGTACAATAGAATAAACAACACACCGCAATACGACCCGATCCCGAGGTTCGACTCGGGATTCCTGCAAACTCGAAGAGCTGTACATGAGGCTAAGGTAACGTAGGCAGGTGCGTTTCCAAACACAATCAGGTCTTATTTCAGTGTCGAGAAGCATTTACTCGACCACTGAAAGTTCTGAGATTCAGAAGCAAGGAGTAGACTCAGTAGAGCAGACTGCGTTAATCCAGGAAGAGAAAGTATACGGTTGGATGTCGCCCGCTGTTGTTGAAGATACGCAACTCCTTCCAAGGCGCAATGGAGAAAGAGAAGTAGCTGTGGAGGACATTCGGGGGTAGGAAAAAAAGCGATACACGAAGTCAAGCATGAGGAACACAACCCGGCCCCGAGTCGAACGGGGAGTTTCTGCTTGGATGTTGGTTTCTATCTGTTTTCAGAGAGCAGATGCGTCAGTCCGCCACCGAGTCTTGTACTTATTCCCTGCACACCACACGATAGATATCAATTCAGTTGCAAGCTTGAAATTGGAACGTGGTCGGAATATACCAGGAGTAGAACGTACGTAGATCAGAGATGTAAATTGTAGGGACGCGGTTCCCTGACTCTGGGAATCAGACTTTTCGGACTGGCTTGGCGGAATGGCTTGCGCCCCTTAGCGGAGTTTCAATTTGGTGGGGCGGGCGGGTGCGGCGTGGCTTGTGATGTGGCTTGGCTTGTTCTCGGCTACACTACATATTCTCACTGCAATAATTTTGTCTCTTACTCTTCAACAGTACCCCGCCACTCTCTATTTCTCAACCTATTATGTTCCGAACATCCCGATCATTGTCCCCGCCGTGGTTGATTGCCGTCCGCCGTGTGTTGAACCCACATCACGCATTTCAGCCATATTTGCAGAATAGATCTTGAGTAACTATGCTTTATTCTTCCTCCAGCTGCCTTGACCCGGGTAAAGTGAAGAATTATGGCACTGCTTCATCAAGTAACTTACAACACTCCGATGCGAACATCACAGGCCGTTTACCCGCCTCTTTCTTCTCACCGCCGCCGTCTTCCATCCTCTCATGCCATTTCAACACGCATACCATGCTCACGCCCGCACCTCATTCAAGCCCAAGCGCCAACATGTCTGGATGGGATGCTGAACCATAGTATATTAGAGGACCAGTGAGCCCACCAACAACGAAGATGGCTCTGGGACAGCACATACCATAATAAATTTACACAGGCCCTCCCTTCCGTTATTTTGAATGAAAATCTGAAGGAAACTATGGTTGAGTGTCTGCCATCTCTTGAGCCCAATTCAAGATCATCGGTATTTTATTCTCAGTGAATTTACTTATCAGCGTGGGACATGTATACGTTCAGTATGGTCTTGTATAAATTAATGATTCTCAGAAATCTACACCCTTATATTCCCATAACTAACTAGATTTAGTTGCAATCCATGCTCACGTCCGTTTGATGCTCTCGGACGACATGGCTTGTGCAAGCCATTTTGCTCGCAGCAACTTGGGGCCGAAATAAAATAAAATGAAATAAATTATTATTTGTAGTTCAGTGACTCCATATAACAATTTCAATAGCAGTATAATGATTTCCAAAGGTTGAATCGAAAAACTCTACCCACGCCGGGCACAAGCCACTTTGTCAGCAGAATGGCTTGTGATGGCATTTGACATGTTCCACTTTTCTCAACCTGGTGCCAATTCACCAAGATCTTACTGTAACATGCTAGGATGAGATAAATGGGATATGACTGGGATGGTTTTGTCCTTGTTACGACACGGATTCCTTGACTTCTCGTAACAAGCCCCGCCCACGCCCATTTTGATGGCATCAGACAGAATGGCTTGCGCACGCCACTTTGATGCCGATGAAAAATAATAATATCCTGGCACATCCTGGGTCTCCGAACACCACAGATCATTCAGATGTATTCCTTGGGGTAGTTTACATCAAAGGATTGAGTATTTACACACATTTGGTCGGTTACGGACCAAGACCCCGGCTTGACCGATGTCAGCTAACAAGATCACAACCCAGAACAACTGCACACACCTCCGCTGAAGTATATCAAGCTTATTCGTGAACGAATTTGTTCAAATTTCAATTTGAGGTACTAGAAAACTTGTGTGGTTCAAAAGTCGGGTGAGTTGAACACTGCTTTTGCGAATAATCTGGCGCGGTGGACACTTCTTCCAATATTTCCACTGCAGGTGGACACTGGGAAGCATTACCTATCAGTGAATCCTCACAAGCCCACTGGCTTGCATGTGGAGTATGAGTTGCCCTCATCATTTTTCATGGTGACGACGAGTATTCCCCCAATATCAAAAGTATGTGACAATTGGTGTCCTAGGTACCTGTAGGGGACATATAGTAATGTCTCTGCCACATAACATTTAATGCTAGGGCTCTACATGATGTACAGTGAAGACAAGCCACTTTGGTTTTTTGGCTGGGACGGAGTTGGCGGAATGGCTTGCCAAGCCATCAAAATGGCTTGCAAGCCGATCGGCCGGGCGTGGGCGGGTGATCACACCCAAATCCACGCCCCCGCCCCAAACAAGCCATTCCGCGCGGGCGCAAGCCATTCGGCCAAGCCAAAAATGTCACTCTCCTCTGGGAATAGAGTGCGAATGGTGAGTAGAGCAGGCCCGATGGCAATCGAAACCGGGGACAAAAATGCGAAAATAGAACAATAAGGCCCGGCCCCGATTCGAACGGGATTCCTGCAACTCAAAAGGTGAGAAATCAACGCAGGCAGGTGCGTTCCAGAAACGCACTGAGGTCTGATTTCAGAACCGTCGATCCGAGTAGGGACGATATGAGTTTGAGTCGCGAGTACGATGAGAAGGAAACCAGTCACGAAACACAAAAAGACCGAAAATTTAGCAGAGCCATGACCCGGCCCCGAGTCGAACGGGGGCGCTGCAGACTCCAAACGCATCCAGGTAACGTAGGCAGGTGCGTTCCAGAACGCAATCGAGTCTTAAACAAAAGTTGAGTGGGTGGATTGAAGGCAGAGTTTTGTTTTAGAGTGCGAGCTGGGACAAAGGGGTGAAAATGCCGGAGACACACAGACGGTATCGAGATACAGTAGAAGAGAATCGGGCTACCATATGAGTCGAAGGAGGAGCCAGCAGTGCTAGGTTATCGAGGTTGTTGAGGGAAATACGTTAGTAGGCATGAACAGAGGACGGCGGATGCTTGACTCGAAGAAGAGGTGAGAGTCGGGAACAACCGCCGATTATTTACCTCGGAGGTCGTAGCCAAACACCGGACGTAATTCCGCTTTCTCTCCCGACTCGCCGAGTCGGATTCGAGCCTTGCGGAGAAGGAGATATCTGGGTCCAATCCGATGCCAGATCTCAATGAATACTCGACCGCAACCTGCCCGGCTCTTCTCTGTTCCGAATCCTGCGAGTCAAATCCACTGGCAGCCGCCGTTGCCGTGTACATGTGTCCGACGACGACTCGAATTCTTTGAAGAGGATACCAAGCCACGGACTGGTTTCTGATAGCGCAATAACATTTTAAGGTGGTGCGTTCGATGTCGTCCTCATCAATTCTCTCGTTTACAAAATTCCATCCGGCTCTCTCCGTTCTCATACAACTCATCTCGCACCGCGGCTCCCGTCGAGCGCACGGCCTCCATTATCCGAGTGCGTCTATTTTCTGGACTCTTCCCTCCTCCCCTCATACTTGGCATTGATTCCAGCGTGCCATCCTTATAGCAGGACCCCGATCATCGAGTCGCGCCCCATCTCTTCACGGCCCGCAAATTTAACCAACTACGCTGGCTACCATGTCCTCGATGTCGTTGTCGTACTCCTTATCAGCCACAGGCTGCAATCTCTATTCTGCTTTCCAATCTCTTCGTCCAGAGGACTCGAGTTCCACGCTACCCACGGCTCTGCACAACGTCGTGCACTCTTCCGAGAAGAACAAGTTTGGGATCCTCGTACCGCAGCCGACGCGCGTCGTGCGCCGTCGGCTAACCGCCGATAGGCAGTACTCCTCACGTCCGCCGTCGCAGTCTGGCGTCGCAGAGCAGCCAGTCGCACGTCGGCCTCCACTCACCGCCTTGATGCCAGTCTCTCTTTTCTTACCTGTGCCTCCCGCGAATACAGCAAGCATGGAGTGCGTTTGCGGCGCCGAGGCACTTCTGTCTTTCTGGTGTACATACACACTTCCCGCATCTCGTGTCCTGCGCCTGCGCACACCTCGCCATGCTTGGATGCCGTCCGCTGACCACCCCCAGCATCGGCCGCGACATGTAACCCACCCTCCGCTTTCAAATAAGTACCCCCGCCCACAGCCTGTCCCACGCACCTGCATCCCCGCGCCCCGCCTCTGTCTTGCGTTGCGCTGCCCGCATGCATGCACGTATCTGCGGAGGGTGTGATGGGAGACCGGAAGGCGTAGCGGAGTGGGAGAGGGAGAAATCGAAGGGAGGTAGGCGCATGGAGGACGAGCGATCCGAGGCCATGATCGTTCCCTGAGTTAAGTGTTGATAAATAATGCGAACGGCGAACGCTGAGAATAAGCATCCATAGACTCTGCCTGTTGCACCTTTTCCACCTCTATCTCCCGACATTTGTATTTCTATATCTTCATAACGCACGGCGCCTCTAAGCACCTGTTTGAGCGTCGTCGAGCGACATTTATCTTGGCTACACCAAATATGTATCGTCTCATGTTCTTGGCGGTCGCGTGTTTCGGAATCTGGATAACCCTGCTTTTCGCCCTCTCTCGCAGCTACTCTTCGGCGATCCCGCACAAGATTTTTTCGCGATATCGCTATGTACGGGTTTTCTGCCTTCTAAATGTTTCTGTGTCCTGGTATCTCGGCCTTCGATCCTCAGACTAACTGCCTCAATGTCTGATCTCGCGCCCCCCACGGGGCCCCATCGCCAATCTCACCTCCACCGACCCTCTCAAAGAGGCGGGCCTCTGCCCACTCCGACGGACTGCACGCGCTCAGGGCGGCGGACGTGCGAATCAACCTCGCATTGCGACAATCGGGAAGATGTACAAGCTCAACGGGTCCGTGAGTGTTACTTGATATTTCTTTACCCGCAGGGGCAGTAAATTAATTATGCTGATGATTGACTTGGATCTTCGGCACATAGAGCTTCGTCCCACCGACGACGCACGTGCTATTGAGATCCTGTCAGACAAATTTGTGTTTCTAGTGCGCCTTGTGTCCACCTTTCTTACTTTTTATTCAACTTCACCGCTCGCGCGGAATTGTAAATGCGCGCCCGTTTCGAATTCCATTTACACGGCGTGCGTCGGCTTTTCTCAATTTTTATTTATTTTTGACTTGAGTTGAATGGAACGTCGAATATGCAGCACCGACGTACCATTGAGTGGACCCCGATCCGTGAAGTCGTGAGCACCGGGACCACTGCCGTGGGGGTTAATGTCACCTTCTAATCGTCACGGATAATGCTCCGTC